TTGGGTTCATCTCTAGCAGGGTTGAAGAAGGAGAAGTGGGAAGAGAGGATGCCTAAGCTCAGAACTCATATGGCTGGACAGATTGATAAGACATTAAAAGACAGTTATGATAGGCTAAAAGAAGAAGATAAAGCTATATTTCGTCACATCGCATGCTTGTTTAATCATAGAACATGTAATTACGTGAAACGAATGCTTGAAGATAGTAAGTTGGATGTTGATGTTGGACTTGTTACTCTAGCTGAGCGGTGCCTCATTCAGATATCAGAGGATAAAATCATTAAGATGCACGATTTCCTGCAAAAAATGGGTAGAGAATTCGTTCGTCAATCATGTATTCAGGTGCCTGGAAAACGTGAATTCTTGTTGGATTCTAAGGAGATCTATGATGTACTTGTTGATGGAACTGTAAGTTTCTAGTTGTTCATGTTTGGTCTCACTTGATACCTTTTTGAAGCATGTTCTTAGGTCACTAATAGATTTGGTTTCTTATATTTTTCAGGGAACTAAAAGTGTTCTAGGCATATTTTTGAACTTACGGGAAATCAAGGATGCATTATCTATTAGCGAGGAAGCATTCAGTGGGATGAAAAACCTTCGGTTTCTAAGAATCTACGGGGTCTCAGAGGAGGATAAAGAAACCATTTTGCAATTACGGGGAGGCAAAAACCGTATGCTGCGCCAACTTAAATTACTATAATGGTGGGGGTCCTCAACGAGACGCATGCATTTACCAGAAGGCAAAAACCATATGTGGCGTCAACTTAGATTACTAGAATGGTGTGGGTGCTCAATGAGACGCATGCCTTGTAACTTCCGTGCAGAAAATCTCGTTGAACTCAGAATGCCGGATAGTCAACTTCAGAAATTGTGGGAAGGGGTTGAGGTAAGTTTTTCAGGTTTGAGTGTTTCTAAACATAGTTATTGATTGAAACGACGCCCTGTTTTTGTTCCTATTTCTTATCTTCTCATTATTGGTTTGACACTAGGCTTAAACGAACAATGGATAAATATATACTTACTTGTTAAAACTTTGGCAAATGAAAGACTGTAATCAAATTTTCTTTTCAAAAAGATTAATGGATGAAGGCGGAAATCTTAAAAAGACTGAGGAGAGTGTTTAACTTTGAACTTTATAAAATTATGACATGTATGACATATTTTAACTTCCTGTTGATGATTAGGTACTTAAAAGCCTCAAGACGATGGATTTGCGTAGATCTAAAATGCTGAAAGTATTCCCAGATCTTTCAAAAGCTACCAATCTCGAGGAACTGTGTCTTGAAGATTGCTGCAGTCTGGTGATGATTCCTTCCTCTATTCGTAGTCTCAAGAAACTGAGGAAGCTAGACATGAAAAGATGCAGAAAACTTCGGGGTCTTCCAACCAACATTGACTTGGAGTCTCTCCATTCCCTCAATTTCAGTGGATGCTCGAATTTAAGAAGTTTTCCTCAGATATCAAAGAATATTTCATATCTCTTTCTGGATGAAACAAAAATTGAAGAATTTCCTGAGCAGATAGAAGATATCTCGGGTCTCAGTTACATATCGATGAACGGTTGGAGAAATTTAAAACATATATCCCCAAACATTTCGAAACTGGAGGTGATATTCTTTTCAGACTCTTATTGTTTGGATGAACAGAGTAAGTATACACGTCTATGTGCAGATGAAATGAAAGCAGACAACATTCGCATTCCATTATCATGTGGGTCTTCTTCTCGCAATTGGAAGAAGGACGTCTTCCTAAGCTTCTATGGGAACGATGTTCGCAAAACTTTAATCAGCCACTTGTTCAAGGAATTCACTATCAGAAAAGTCACTACATTTCATGCTGATATGCTTGTGGCACGCGATGACTTGGCCTTTGAGCTTGTAGCTGTACATGAGATAAGAAAATCAAGAATTACTATAGTCATGCTTTCAAATAATTACGTGTCGTCGAGATGGTGCCTGGATGAGTTGGTGGAGATCATAAAGTGCGGCGAAGAGATTGGTCAAAAAGTGATACCCGTTTATTATGGTGTGGAACCTGCTCATATCAGAACGCAGATCCTAGACTTTGGAAAAGCATTCAAGAAAGGGTATACAGTAGACAACTACAAGCAAAAGAAATGGATGGAAGCTTTGACTGTATTAAACCGACTTCAGGGATATTATTTCCGTGACCGGTAAGTTATCTGAAGTACCTTTTCTTTTGAATGAAATGTACGTCTCCCTATGGTCAGGCTCAAACCATTTTAAATTTATTCTCTTTTGGAGAGGAGGCCCCTCCCAAGGGTATTTGAATCTATGACCCATTAGATATCTATTAGATAATTTAAGAGTTTTAGCCATTACTTACTTTGGCTTTTAAGGGCTAAAGTATTACTCCATGTTGATTGCACCATCATTTTTCTTTCCTAGCAGGGATTCTGAAGCAGAGATAATTTAGAAAATGGCCGATGATATTTCTTTTGCACTAAATATTACATTAAAAGAGTCTTCCAATGTGCTGAGCGCCAAAATGTCGCAATTCGTTCCTCATTCTTATACACCAAACCAGGAAACTGAGAGAGCATTAATAGTGCAGTATGATGAGTTAAAATGGAACGAGAAAGCTCTGTTTTGTCATATTGCTTGCTTTCTCAACAATGAGACATATGAGCATGTGATGCGATATCTGGAAGACAGTGAGTTAGATGTTGGAGGTGGTCTGACGATTTTATTTGATAAATCTCTGATACAAATATCAAAAGAAAGAGTCATAAGTATGAGCTGCAAAAGTTAGGCAGAGATGTAGTTCTTGAACCATTCATAAGCCAGCCTGCAAAGCGTCAGTTCTTGATGGATACTAACGAGGGTTGCGACATACTTATTGATCAAACTGTAAGTTTTAAGTTTTAGCATCGCTTTTAAACGAGTAAATTTGGCAAACCAGGGTATCTTTAATTCCCTTAAATTTATTTTCAGGGTAATTGGAGGATGTTCGGCATTTCTTTTAAAGTATCGGAGACAGCGGGAAGAGATGAAAGATTCAAAGGAATGAACATGTTGCAGTTTTTGAGTATGTTCAAGGAGAGTTTGTACGGTAAAGAAGTCAGAGTTCATTTAGTGAAAGGCCTGCTCTCTGTGGGAACGTCTTTATGATGTTTGATGTGTAAGAATACTCTCTCAGTAAGATTCTATCTTCTGCTTATGTAGTTCTCCATTTTGGCTTCTATGGATAGGGTTTATTCGTTTTTCTAGTTTCTACATGTGGAATTTGTTACTTAGTGGTTTACTGTACCTATCCAGTTTGATACTATTAAATACTCATGCTCTTCATGTTGAATCACATACATTTTTCCGAAGGCAGCAGGTATTCGAGTAGAGCCTACATCGTTCATCTTAGGAAGCAGCCGGTGTCTTCCTCTTCTGAAGCAAGAGAGGGAGCAACATCGTTCTTCGATTAGGCGAAGCAGGGCTCTTACAACTGCTGCATCAGAAGTCAAAGTGGATAGACTCGCTTATGTCCGAACTTTGTCTCATTCTTTGTGGTCCAACTATATATATTGTGATAACAGGGCAGGGCGGAGGAAGAGAAACTCACAGCAACCATAGCCGGAGAGGATTCTCAGAGTTGGTAGAATCCTAATTTTGATTCTCCTATTTTCTTTACAAGTTCAGTATTCCTTTAGTATCTACTTTATGTTTGTGCTCTTCTGTCATCACATTAAAATTATGATATTATTGTTGAGTTTGTACTTGCAAACACACTTCCTGTCTAAAGGTTTTGGACTAGAAGGGCATTAAAGATACATGATTTAGGTGAAGGGAAAGAAGTGGTATGATTCTACTTAGTTCCACATCTTCTGCCATAAAGCACCTATATCTCGTTAATAATCAAAATAAAACACCTTTGGTTCTTTACAAACTGATGCATAAAAGGAAAAAACTTGCTCCTCTTCTAAAAGATTCAAATATAAGAGCAGAATAGAAATACATAATGTAGCATACTAAATTTCACTTGAAGAGTAAAGGTTTCTTATGGAGAAGGCGTGATACAAATTCTTTGATAGAATAATAATGTTGTTGGACCGGTTCTAAGAATTAAGAGATAACTAGTTTTTGACCCGCGTGTCCGCGCGGATTTTTTGTTCTGTATAAATATATATTTATATTAGTTGTAAAAAACATTCATATTTATGTAGATTATTGAGTTATGATGTCGGTGTATCTTGTTCATTTTGTTTAACGTCTTTTTTCTAACTATCAAGTTGTAATAATTTTTTCATATATATTTTTTTTTACTTGGTAAACTAAAAAATTAAGTATAAAATATTAGAGTATCTTGTTAAGATTGTTTGTATTTTATTAAATTATATTATAAATTTTGTGATTGAAATTATATTTTAAAATTATATTTTATATTTATTTTTTAAAATAAATTATTAAGAAAGCAAAAAAAAAGACAAAAAATAAGAGCTTTAGCAATTTTATTAACAAATGTCATTTTTAAAATTGAATTGGGTTGTTTGGTTTTGGGCAATTTTGTTTTCATTTAAAGTTATTGGACTTTAAACATATATTGAAGCCCATGTAAGAGCAAAACCACAGTGTTTTAATTGCAGTGACATTCTATTGTAATTTTTGAGAAAAACTAAGAGTTATTTCTATTTTGTACTTCCCCTTTAATAGTTTAGATAAACAGTGAGAATTTATCTAAAGTACCAGTTTTGGGATACCCTAATTCAAAAATACATTAACCATGTTTACCATTAAATTTTTAATGGGCAATGTACCATTGTACCCCTAATCTATTCTCTCCTACAGACTCTCCAGATCTAATTCGGATAAACTTCAAATTGTTTAACGACGGCCAAATCCGACGAGGCCAAACGAGCTTTCTACGAATCTGACGACTCTCCGACCAGATCTCCGATGAATCTGAAGAGCTCTCCGACGAACCAGAAAAACTTGACGAGCTCCGACGAACCAGAAAAACTTGATGAGCTCCGACGAACCTGAAAAAACCTGATGAACTCCGACGAGCCGAACAAGCTTTGTCACGAATGCGTAAGAACTTTTACGAAGTAACAAGATAATAGATCGAGATTTTTATTCTATTTCATTAATTTTAGCTTGATTTCTCAAAAACGATCTGTTTCTGGGAAAAGAGACGAGGTTTTTGATGATATTTGACATTCTAAAATTTATAAAACCTTATAATTATTTATCTACGAAGAACATAGTGTTTATGCATTAACCTTATAATTATTTTTCACTGTGAGATGCTTTTATCTTTGTGTTGCTTATGATTCTTAGTTTATTATGTGTCTCTTGTTTATTTTTATTCAGTGATGTTCTTTAATAAGCAAAGAAATGGTGGAAAGTTGGTTTGTTTCTTATATCAACATCACAGGAAGAGATAGTTGCAATGCACTATTTGATAGCACACAGCAAACTGGTGAGCCTTTCGATCTTGATAAGTTTTGGAATAGACTTTATATTGACGCCAACTCTGAATATTGCAGCTGAAAACTGGAGCAGGAGAGTTCCTTGGATTTCAGAAGGGGAGCTCACTTCAGAAAAGTTCTGCATATGTATCCTCATAGAAATTTGTTAAGGTGTGTGTTTAATCAGACCAGAGGTTACATTCAATTGTGTAGTGATATGTTGTTATTGTAATCTACATAATTTGTTTCGAACTAGGAACCTGCTTGGATCTTGGCCATTTCTGGGGAGGTTACGCGTCTGTTTTGCAGAGCCACCTTATTTCCAAATGAATATAAAACCAATCTTCACTCATGGAGTTGATGTTGCTGTGGTTCCTGGGATTGCAGGATGGCTAGTAAGTATTAAGTAGTGTAGAAAGTTTCCTCCTGTTCTTTTGAGTTTTTACTCTTCTAACACTCCCACATTTTTGTTATTATTTCCAAATCAGGACAAACTCTTGTCTATTGCATTTGAGCAGACTTTTGTTGAGGTAAGAGTTCCCTCATATAGCTAAGCAACTATTTTTTTTACAATGAAGCCAGCTAAACGAAGCTTTTGTCTAACTTGCAGCCAAATATGCTTGTAGTTGATATGAAGAAGTTTGTTAGCCCACAATCAGGAGGTAACTATTGTCAGATATCTCTCGAACTTTAATTTAATAAATCTATATGGTTACACTTTACATTCTGTGTCTGTGTGTTGGTTCCAGAGAATTGGTTCTTTGTTGATGAGAAAGAACCAGTTGCACACGCTCTTGTTGAATTCGTTGAAGCATCTGATGTTAAACCATCAGATCTAAATGGTTAGTTAGTTTCCTCCACTCTAGTAAAGCTTGAAAACGGCCTCTTATGAAGTGCTCGGATTTTGGATGCTTCAGGTTTATCTGATCCTTATGTGAAAGGACAGCTTGGCGCTTAAGTGTTGTAAACCTTTACATGGATCAGGTACATTGTTTGTAATCTATTCTTTACATGTTTGGTCACCACTTAACCTATTTGATCTCTGAATATGAGAATGTTCTGTATACAACTTTATATATACATACAATTGATTAGGGATCCTAAACCAGCAAATTGAGATGGTTGGTGTTCCTGAAGAGCATGTATCTGACCACGCTTTCCATCTCTATCATTTGACATCACCTGATAAAACATAATCTAAAACATAACTTTTGTCTCTATTGTAAAAGTGTGTCTGTCCCGTAAGTTAACTAGTTCTCTGTTTCTTTGTCATTTGTTGTAGTGTCTCCTTTGAGTTCCAGCATAATGTATGTGGAATATCAATATACGCTGAGGGAACTGTGCTTTTCCTTGCCAAAAAGGTTCTTAAGCTTATTTTCTGAGCATTGAATCTCAGCTTTCTCTGAGTCTCAGCTTCATCTAAAGATGCTAAATGTTGTTTTCAACACTTTTGGTGAAATACAGATTCGAATGAAAGCAGAGCAGAGAATCTACAACATGATTGATGTTTTGAGAGAAGGAAACATGCGTTGAGCTTCGGTGCAGTGAACAAATGGTGGTTCTAGAAGAGCTGAGATAGGTTTACCAAATCATTAACAGTGAAAGTTAGATGTTTGGTTCCCACTTCTGTCTTTTGGACAGGCTTTTGAAACTACCAGGGTTGTTTGCAGTTGCAACGACTGCTGTTTTGTAGCTCTTTTTTTTTGGTCTATCCAAGAACTTTACATTGCATTATTCATGTTAAACCTCTTTACTATAAATGTTAAGCAAAAGTTATTCAGAACAACAATCTCAGAAGGCAATAATATATTTGCATCATCACTAGTTTTGTAGGTTGGGATTAGGGTAATTCAGTTTTCCGGTTATTTCGGTTCGCCCACAAAATTTGTCTGAAATTAGGAGAAGTTGTTAAGAACTATCAGCAGATTCTCCTAGCTAGTGTGGTTGTTGAGCTTTCCCCTGTGGTTATGGCTTGATTTGGAGAAGCAAGATTTGGGTTATAGATTATATGATGAAGTTTCTCTACAGACGTACTCTCACTTTGTAGAAAAACTAAAGGCGCATTGTCTTCTTTGGACACTTGACCCATACAATTTTTCTTTTTTCTCGTTTAAGATCCATCAAATATACATTTACACAACAAACCCCCCCCCCCAGACTGTTAACGTTATACATAGAAGATCATGATGACCATAATAATACGTACATGATCGATATCACACATCTTATAAATAATATATAAGCTTTTATATTATACTATATTAACTCTTATAAATGTAGATACCTTATAAATGTTTTATAAACCCTTATAAATTATTTATAAACACTTATAAATTATTTATAAACACTTATAAATGACTTTTAAACCTTATGAATAATTTATAAATCCTTATAAAATGATTTTATATGTACTCTTATTGTAAATCTATTTCATAAAGTTTGTCAACAACATATAAAATTTTAGGGAATTTGCTAATAATACAACTTTCCTTGTACACATTTTTAACTTTACACTAACCACTTTTATCTTTGTAACTTGTGATGATGAGAGAATGCTTTTCGATATTCAGAAATTCTACAATGTGGTTGTTGAGGAGCTTCCATCAAAAGTAGCTATTCTTCTTTGAAGAAGAAAAAACAGTTACTTGGTTTGCAAGTTTCTTATTTGATTTTTTTGACCTCTCTCTCTCTGAATCATCTTGAGACATCTTTTTCATTTTCTAGTATTCACCAACTCTCTAGAACATATGTCATCTCTTCCGACCATTTTTCATTTTAACTCATTTAATTTATAAATCTTTATAAATTCATTTTTTGACTGGTTTTTATCTCAAGCATAAGGGTATATGCATCACACTTTTATCTTCTTTGTGTTTTAGTATGTTTATACATGTGACTATATAAAATGGTTGTTTGGTGTTTTCTATCTAACATGCATGTGATATTAAAGATCCAAAGCAAAACATAGAGTGGACAGTGCCTGAAGGTGGTGGAGGCCCTGCTTATTCCCACATGTAGTAGTCCTCAACACTTACTTTACCACATCCCATAAATAAATAAGACTCAAACAAACCTTATGTTATTTTGAGCTTTTTAGTGATAGAAACTGTATGATGTTTCGCTTATTGTGAACTTTCATTAGACATTAGTGGGAACTCATCAGAAAAAAAATTCAAAATCCCATGTATCTAATTTTCATTAAATCATAATGTCATTACATAACTTGTTATGTAACTAGGGTGGAATCATCGTGCTTGAGACCGTCTCCATTAGTTACACACTGGCTTTATAAATCTTTATAAATTCATTAACCTTATTATATGATTTATAAACTCTCATAGATTAACTCTTAGAAATGTCTTCATAAACCTTATGAAAATTTAACAAACCCTTATTAAACCTTTATGAATCTTAAATTACACTTACAAAGACTTTAAAATAATTTTTAAAATTTATAAAGCCTTCTAAAAAACTAATACCGGTTCACTTTTAATTCTTATTAAATCATTTATAAATGATTTAATAATCTTATAAACAACTATCTTGTAATGAAAGATGCTTGCAATGATTCTAGAAGACATTGTAGTGATTGCAACTGAATTTAGTTTTACTTCTGACATTAGCTGGTTATCACAGTGGCAAAAGAATCATCTATTTTCAATGGCAATCTTCTCCATCCGAACCTTGTTAAACTGGTGGGTTATTGTATCGATGATGATCAAAGGCTGCTGGTTTATGAGTTCACGCCTCGAGGAAGTTTGGAGAATCACCTTTTCAGAAGTAAGTTAAGTTTAAATCTTCCTCTTGTGTGCTGCCATTCATAATAGTAAGTGTTAATGAGTTAAAGGTTACTCCATATTCTCAAAAGTTGGAACATTTCTACACTTATATTTGTTTAAAGTTGGAAACTTTCTACTTCCAAATCTTAGATGGCAGGTCGATATTTCTTGAACTTGTGTGTTTTTGAAGGGTTGTTGCCTCTTCCATGGTCGATTCGGATGAGGATTGCTATCATTACATAATGTGATAACAAATTCAAAACGCATGAAATACCAAGTTTTTACTCATTTATAATATTTTATTAATTTATTTATAAGGGTTTATAAATTTGTTTATTAGAATTTATAAATTTATTTATAAGGATTTATAAATTGATTTATAATGGTTTATAAATAGATTTTATAAGTGTCTATAAACTAATTTATAAATGTTTATAAACTGAAGTAGAATAAACTGACTTTAAAAACTTGAGATATCTTAATTTGATTGTTAAGTTTACCTTTACACTCTATGATTGGATCTTCATTGACCACAAGCACGACCCTCATGAGATAAAAATTGTAATCCATCATTGCGATTAACAGAGACTCACCCTCCTTTACAGCGCTTATAACTAATTTATAAGGGTTTATAAAATCATTTATAAGGTTTGTAAAGGCTTATAAACTAATCTAATAAGGTTACTAAGTTAGTGTATAAAAAGCTTATAAAATGATTCATAAAGGTTTATAAGTTAATTTATAAGAGTTTATAAACTAATTTATAAAGGCTTATAGACTAATATAAGGGTTTAGAGGTTGATTTATAAATCCTTATAAATGGTTTAAAAATCATTACAAATGATTTATAAACTCTTATAAATGATTCATAAACCTTAATAAATGACTTATAAGAGTTTATAAATCACTTATAAGCCCTTACAAATAGTTAAAAATGGTTTATATAATTTTATACAAGGTTTATAAACTTTTATCAATTATAAATGGTTTATTAAATTTTTATAAACTCTTTAAATCATTTATAACCATTTTATAAATGATTTTATACACTTATAAACATTTGTAATGGTTTATAAACACTAAGCAGCAACTTGATTAATGATGCTGCAGCATTATACATGTAATCAAAAATACTGAATCCATCAGGATCAGAACAGATAAGCAAATATCAAATAATCAAAAATCAATGTTGAGATTTACAACTTTCACAAACTTTCCTAAAACGGTTCATAACTACAAGCACATCTCTCTCTGAAAAATTACTGAAACAGAGCCTAAACCATCCCGGTTCAATGCATTGACAACAAGATCCCGGTATTACATTGATCTTCCCAATCTTCAAGAGCTTGTTCCACAGCTCAATCTCGCCTTTCTCACTATCAGACGACATCAACCCTCTCATATCCACCCAAAAGAAGAGCCCACCATTGCTTTTCGTGCACTCAATCTTCAACGCTTTCAACCCCTTGACTAGCTCTGTGTTGATCCTCATCAACCTCTCCCTGTTGGTTTTCACAAACCTCTGAACAAACTTGGGACTTGAGATCGCTGAAACGAGCAGATGCTGTGTAGGAGAAGACACTGGAGAGAGCTTTGTGAGCTTTCTTGAAGCGGATAAAACATTCTCGTTGAATGAGTAAATTTGCGGTTCTAAGTCCCGGGAAGGACAAGTCTTTCGAGAGGTTATGAACTCTTTCTCTGTCCACATTCTCCTCCGTGTCAACTACTTCAGCCATGCTAACAAACTCTCCTCCTCCTCCTCCTTCTCCGTGGACAGAACTAGCGAAGATCTCGTTTGAGATGATGTGAATGTTCCTCTCCCGAGCAAAGTCTAAAAGAGCATAGAGATTCTCTCTGCTCAAGAGAGTCCCCGTGGGGTTCCACGGGTTTGAGATTATGATTCCACGGATTCTAACACCTTATTTCTTGGCTTGGTAGAATGCTCGATCGAGAACTAGCATTGATATGTTGAAATTATCCGCGCTTCTACAGGGAACGTGTATGAGTTCCACTCCTGTTCGCCACTTAACATCCCTGTCATATCTGTAACACAACAAAAACAAGACTCAGCACTGTCTGAACAAACAATAGAGAGGTAAGAACTGAAACTTTACCCAGGTGAACAAGGAGTAGGAACAAGGAAGGCGTTTCCGGAATCAGCTAAGCAGAAGGAAAGAATCTCTATGGCAGAGGCTGCACCAGAAGTTAAAACTAGCTGTGATGGATCGAAAGAAACTGAATTCTTGGTTGCTTCAGACATGAATCCTGCAACAGCCTGTTCATAATTCAGACAACTTATATCAAGAACTCATAAAAACAGCTTACGAATACACTAATCACTCTTTCAATTTTAACTCTAATAAAATGTAACTGTGGCTACAGAATGATTCATTACCCTGATTCTAAGTTGCTACGTTCTCATCAGAAAAGAAGAGTATTGAAAGATGAGAAACTTACACCAACCTGATTTTGTAGGTTTGTTTTTTGCAGTTATATTTGACGTAAGCACTTGGGAAAGCACCTGAGAACCAACTACATTAGCAAAAAGCGATGCAGATTCTCAGTCCAACATACAACATACTATCCAACCTTCTCTGCAAAGACCAGAAAGAGTATTAAGAGAACAGTACCAAGATACGGTTTTCATTATGATGAAGAACAAAGTGTAAAACTACCTTGGCGACATGGAGAACAGGCTCACCGAGGTTTTTGTACTTAAACACACTAATATACAACTCGCGATTTAAGTGATCAAGATTCGTTCCCTGATCCTACGAGAAATCAAATCCCTAAATCGTCAGAGATGATGAAAACTAACCTAAAAGCTTACCATTAAACAATTGCAATTGAAATCGGTAAAATCTAGAAACTCAATAAAATTTAGAATCGATCAAATAGTGAGAAGTACAAATCTCAGAGAGTACAAAATGTACCTGAATTGCGCTTAGGGTTCCGAGAAGAAGAAGACTACATAGGGATGAGATGGAGAAAACTCCATGAGAGTTGAGTGTTTAGAGAGGAAGCTCACCACTGTCAACAATCACAACTTTACTCTTAGGAGTTCCGCTCTGATTCCCTTCAGCTTCGATTTTGTACACCACGTCCATTCCCGACACTACCTTCCCGAATACTACGTGCCTCCCGTCCAACCTGTATTAAGAGTCCCAAGCTTTCTAAACAAAAAGAAGGAGGAAAATATATCGATTAAAATGTTCGAAATGCCACTGTTATTACCAGCTTGTAGTCACTGTTGTGATGAAAAACTGAGATCCGTTGGTGTCTTGCCCGGCGTTTGCCATTGATAGAAGCCCTGTGAAAGAACAAACAGTTGATCAAGTAAGAACACCTCGCTTAGGCAAAGAACTTGTCAACACAGAAAACTGAAGAAGACCTCACCTGGACCAGTATGCTTGAGTTTGAAGTTCTCATCAGCAAACGTCTCACCATAGATAGACTCTCCTCCCATACCATTGCCATCAGTGAAATCGCCTCCTTGGAGCATAAAGCTTGGTATGATCCTATGGAATGAGCTCCCCTTGTAATGTAGAGCCTTCCCTTTCTTACCTATTCCTTTCTCCCCTGTGAATAGATGAGATGACGATACTGTTTAGGTAAGCTTCCATTGCAAAGTAAATCCACTGCTGTGGCAGATAAAAATAAGTTAAATAGTATATATTCATTTTGTTCTCTAACCTGTGCACAAAGCTCGGAAATTCTCTGCAGAAACCGAAATTTCAGAACGTCAGATGTTTCGATCATACCAATAAGCTTGCAAACAAGAAACATGTCAAGGGTAAAGGGTACCTGCAGTTTAGGGACGGTCTTTCCATATAGACCCATGACAATACGACCTAGACATAAAAACATAATCGTTTTCAGGGGAAAGCAATGGAGGAAAATTTAAAAAGCATTTCATTTCATGTAGTCTCCTTCTAATAAAGAGAGCGTAAGTAGTTATGGATAATAAGAATTTAAAACTCAGGAACAAGGTCACACTACAAGCTTCTTTCCCATCAATCTCAACATCGAAATAAACCTTGTGTGTGATCTCCTTTAAATTCTCCTTGGACTTTTTGGCCTGCAACACAGAATAAAAGAAACATCCATAAATCAATACACACTTCCATACCATTTTACATCTCATTCCAATACATTTGGGACTTATACTAGGGGCACTTGGTGCAGTAAAATATAGCTCTCTGCAAAGATCCAAATCGAATGATGCTGAATCTAATCCCATAAGTAACAAATTCAGAATCTCTTTTCGAATCACATCTTAAACACACTAAATATATAACTCGCGATTTAAGTGATAAAGATTCGTTCCCTGATCCTACGAGAAATCAAATCCCTAAATCTTCAGAGATGATGAAAACTAACCTAAAAGCTTACCATTAAACAATCGCAATTCAAATCGGTAAAATCTAGAAACTCAATAAGATCTAGAATCGATCGAATAGTGAGAATTACGAAGCTCAGAGAGTACAAAAATGTACCTGAATCGCGCTTAGGGTTCCGAGAAGAAGAAGACTACATAGAAGCAGCGTCGTCACTGAGCTCACCATCTCCCACCGTTCAGAAAATGGTTTCTCTCCCGAGTCTCCTCTTTCTCCAGAGAAAAGAAGACGACGCAGAAACATGAAAAGAAAAGAACCAGGGTTAGATTTGACATTTACCCGTTAATGATTTAGGTATTTATGAAAATGTCCTATAAGTATAGGTAAAGCTGAAAAGTGGTACATGGAATGTGGTAAAATTGAAATTCTCCCATAAACAATTTGATAAAGAAATTTGATAAGATTTTGCTATAATAATTTGGGAATTATATAGTTTATGCATATTGGTTCTTGTAAAAATTGGGGGGTTCTTGACCAATGTTTCTATCTTTTTATCTTTAATCAAATTTATTAAGCATTGAAAGTGGATTTCCCCAATTAGAAAAGTTTGGGAAACTTTTAAGAAAACATTGAAAGTGGATTTCCTTTTTATCTTTAATCAAATTTATTTTCTCTTTAAGAAAAATTTTCTATTATATTTTCAACAAAAACTTCTTTTTTTCTTAAAACTTTACTATTACTAACTCTTGTTACTTCGATAAATTCCTTATCAGCAATGGCACAACTGATGTATCTAAAACCGAATATCTAATTTATGGATCAATCAAACTGATAGGCCCTGGAGAGTCTACTACCGTAAGAGAAACAGAGGAGATAAGAGTAAGAGAGGAGTGAAATGATAAAGATGACGTGGAGGAGACGGTTAATGAAGAGTAGAGTTGTTAGAGCACCCCCATAAGGGGATTTAAGGGGGGGGGTTCACACGTTTACCGAGGGAAACAGTGACGAACTCGGCGCGCGTGGGTTCGTCGTGGTGAACCCGGTTCATCACGAGTTCGCCACGTGGCGGGCCGTGATTTGCCAAATTTTTTTTTTTTTTTTTTTTTGAAAAAGTAAACGGAAAAAAAAAAAAAAAAATACAGCTGGCAAACCCCACCTCAGTATCACTGGTGGGGATGCTCTTACGGAAGTAAAGAGTATAAATACAAGTGGAGTCTGTTAGAATAAGTTACGTTATTTGTTATTAGCAAAGTTTGTTGTAACAAATTTTGATATTCAATAAAAGAGAAAATGACTAGGATAGACCTAAAAAAGTTTTTGTCATAAATATAGACTTTAATAATTAAAATAACCAAAATAGCACTTAAATGTTTTATTAATTATATATTTATATCCTTTGGGTTAACTAATCCTAGATTTTTTTGTTTAGAGTTGAGAAGTGGAGTTTTGAGAATAGGGTTTTAAATTTTTGAAAATAGAAAAAACTAAAAAAAATTAAAATAAAAAGTGTTATTTTGGTCATTTTAATTTTTGAGATCTATTTTTGTGATAAAAAATTAAAAGATGGCTATTTGAGAGAATTGTTCTTCAATAAAATCACTACTATTGTCTATCACAAACAATAACAAGAAAAGTTTAAAGCCAAAGATTTTTTTTATTGAAGTGTTTAGACCGAAGCCAGAAAGAAATACAAAGTTAAGTTTTAAGAATAAGAACATGGACAGGAAGATTTTTATCTCATGCTGGGAGATTACAGCTTATCAACTCGGTTATTACAAGCTTGACTAATTTCTGGATGCAAGCTTTTAAACTGTCAGGAAGCTGTTTGAAAGAGATTGAGAGTCTCTGCTCGGCTTTCCTATAGTCTGGGCCTGCTTTGAAGACTAGTAAAGCAAATGTTAACTGGAGAGATGTCTGTATGCCAAAGCAGGAAGGTGGTCTGGGAATTCGTCCTTTGAAGGGAGTTAATAAAGTGCATTCTCTGAAGCTATTGTGGAGGATATTTTCTGGAAAGGATTCTCTTTGGGTTAAATGGATTCGTTGCTATCTTATGAAGAAAAGGTCTATTTGGTCTCTTCGAAGCAGCATGGCTACTGGGTCTTGGATTTGGAGGAAACTTCTCAAATCAAGAGATGATGCAAAGTGTTTCTTGCGCATGAAAGTGAATAATGGGGAAGATACTTCTTTTTGGTTTGATAATTGGTCAAGTATAGGATGTCTGTATGAAATTCTTGGAGATAGAGGCTGCACTGTTTTGGGAATTCCTCGTGATGTTATGATTGCGGATGTTTTGGGGTTTCATAGAAGGAGAAGACATAGAGAAAATATTTTGAATAGCTTGGAAGATGAGATTGATCAGCTCCGTGTGCTGAATAGTCATGAGAAGGACATTTCAATGTGGAAGCAGAGAGATGGTATCTTTGAAGGGAAATTCTCAGCAAAGAATACTTGGAATCTGGTGAGATGGAATATCAATATTAACCCGATTTGTGTGTTATGTAATGTGGAGGATGAGACATGCCAGCATCTGTTTTTCAGATGTGGTTATACTAAACTAATATGGAGAAGTTTAGTGGGAGGAGTTCTTCAAAGGAGCTTTACTACTGATTGGGATGAGATTATAGAGATTATTTCAAGCTCTCGATGGAATGCCACTAAGATGTTTCTTATTAAGTATGCTTTACAAGCTGCAGTCCATGCTATCTAGAGAGAACGCAATGCTAGGAGGCACGGAGATTTAGCTCAAACTGCTGATTGTATGACTAGATTTGTGGACAAGTCTATTCGGCTCAAGCTCCTGTTGGTTCAGGGTCAGGGACAGGAGTACTTGGAGAAAGGTTTAAGCACTTGGTTTGGCTCAAGACTAGTGGATACCAGCACGTGAAGCTCTTGTTTAGTGGTCTTTTTATTTTTCTGAGATTTTTTCTTTGTCATGATCTTCACTCTTTTTCCTTTATTTGAGTTTTCTCCCATGGGGTTTTCTCAAATAAGGTTTTTAATGAGGAAGGTAAATGGCACTCAAGTTTGATTACTTTGGTATCAAGCTTGAGATTTTGGTTTTGGCTGGTTGTATTGTTTCTTTTCTTGAGGAAAAACTGTTGCACTTGTTGTAAAAAGGTTTTGATTGAATAAATTTTACATTCAAAAAAAAAATAAGAATAAGAACATGTAGTCAATGATTCTTGAGCTTGTGGTCGTTATCTCTCTCGCTGCCCCCTTTTTCTCTTCATTCAATGTCGTATTTGTGGAGCATTTTCTTCTCCCTCTCTCCTTCCTTCCGGAGTGGCCATGTCAGGAGGTCGTTTCGCAGGTCGGAGTGGTTACTGTCAGCTACGAGCGGTAAACAGAATAGTGTTATCCTTATGTTATTATTAGCTTGGATAGTGATAATTTGCGTTTTGGTTTGAAAATGGAATAGTGTTATCCTTGTTTTATTGGTTTAAACGCAGCCACATTCATGATGATATTGAGAGTATTTTAGTAACTTAGGTTCACTGAGGTTACTGGATTCTACATCAGTTCCTTTTGTGTTTTGATTGTTTGACTTATAACTTAAGCTTGTACTAGTAAACTATGTTGCTTAATCTTAGCATTTCATTTTACCATAGTTTATGCTTTATAGATAACCTATTGCTCTAAGATTGTTAGCTCGGAAATTGATATTTTGCATTGGAATAGTGTAATCTTTGGATGAAAACCAGAGTCATGATGATACTAAAAGTATTGCAGTGTGATCATCATTAGATTTTTTAAATAATTTATATCTGCATCAATCTAACGAAACCCATATATTACACCGAACGCCTAGTTGTTCTCCTTTTAAAGTTGTGATGTTGTGTTGCTCAATTTTGGTTAGAGGTAGATTGAAGAAAAGCTTTATCCTGTTTTGCAAAGACATCGAACAAAATATTTTACTATTACTACTATCTTGTAAGAAGCAAGATCCGAAAGTAGCATCATTGTTCAAACACACACACACACAAAACTAGAAGAGCAGGAGATTATTTATTTTACAGCATCTTAGTAGATTTAAGTAGTTATCTTTTTTATCTGACAAAGGGGCTTCTAAGGTTTGGTAGTTTTCACTCTTCGTCATCCTCCTCTCCACCACCACCACCAGCTTTCTTAGCTCCAGCTCTCTCGTTCCTTCTCTTCACTCTTCCAGGTCGACCACCACCAAATGGACTGGTCAGAGAAAAGTCAATGTGTTTCTGCGAGTCTACTTTCACCATGAACGATGGAATGTTCACCAGCTGCCTCCCAACCCTTAAAAACACACACAGATTCTTTAGCCAAGTCAAGCAGAGGACAAAGCATATTTCCACGACAATTTTGATTACCTGATGTGCCTTTGTCGGATGAGGACACGAGCATGGTGAATTGACTTGGCCATACCGGACTTGAAGACAAGAGTCTGGAGACGGCGTTCGAGGAAGTTCTCAACAGTCAAAGCAAGAACGTAGTCGAGCTTGTTCTGGGATTCATCAAGAAGCCCATTCTTGTTCATCCTCCTAAGAAGTGCTTCACCTTGAAAGATCCGACGAGGGTTCTTCTCGTCGAGAGTGAGAAGCTCTCTCGCAGCGTTACGGATACGGCTCAGCGTGTACTGAACCCTCCACAGCTCTCTCTTGCAGCGAAGACCGTATTCTCCGACAAGCTTCAGCTCCGCGTCAAGACGCTCCTTCTCGTAAGGACGTCGTGGCTTTTTAAAGGTTTTGCCATCTGCAAACACACAAAATCAACATTTACAACCAAAATCTTCATAATAAGGCATGCATGCAAAGAGAACCACATACCAAAACAGAGTAATCTACTGATTAAATACAAAACCTAATTATTTTTTGCAAGCATCGATAAATAGATAGATCAAAAACAATAGCATCAAAACTAAATGATGATGATCTAAGATACTGATAAATAAAAAGGTATTTTTTTTTTTTTTAGGAAAACAGTCAGTGAATATAAGTTCATGTTTGGGGAAAGAAACTATTTATGAAGAAATAAAAGGTGAAACTTCGATCACATCAGAGAATTAAAGATGGAGAGAGCTTACAGTTGCGGTAGAATCGGACTTGCACCATGGCTGCTGCAGTTACAAGACAGAGAGGAGAGTGATCGCAGAGAAGTGGAAGAAGCAAGAACCTTCTTTTTATATTATAAAAAACGGTGTAAAAAAGCCCTGACGAGGTGTTAGGGCTCAATATCAGTCATTTTGTTTGGGCTTTATCTCATTTGTTTGAGCCATTGGACTCTAGTGGCCCAGTTCATGTTCTAACAATACCGTGTGGTACGAGAAAGACAAAAGAGGTAGCGAAAAGAGAAGAAACAGAACAAACTAATGGGGGTTCCTTCTGTCTCTATCCATGTTTAAGAAACCTAAAGCAAGGCGGAACCGTGTGACACAAGAAATATAAAGCCAGAGTAGATATGTATAGAGAAGAGAAGAGAAGAGAAGAATAATCAAAGAGCCTATAGCCATGGCAGACGAAACTAATTGGGGTAGGTTCCTTCTTACTCTACCATGTTTAAAGAAAGCTGAAAGAAGATAAAAAAAGATTCTCAAACACAGTCTTGAAAATGATTACTTATTATGAACTAACTTGATTAGTGAAGCTGGTCTTTCATATATTCCATCTTCTTTCTTTTGACCTTTCATTACCTCTTCTTTTGACTCCATCTTCCAATTAGCTTTAGTCAAAGATTCACCTAACAACTCGGCAATATTCGTCGCCATTGCTTCAACCTTCTCCACAAACGGAAAGTTCTTCTCTTCAAACTGATTAGACAACCAAAGATACATAGACAAAACCTGATGTCTATTCTCCAGATCCAACAGCTCTGTATCGTTCCTAGCAGAACTCTTTGGCATCCCCATGGCTACATTAACCGGCATATCTTGGCTGTAAGTAGACGCCATCCGGTATAAATGGTACATTGCTTTCGGATTCCTGATGTTAACTGGTGCAAAACAGAAGTTAAACCGGTCTTCTAGAGACAACCCTTGTACTTTCTCCAACATGTTTGCTACTTTCTTGACGTGATCATGACGGCACAAGAAGTAAGAACCGTCCAGCCTGCAGTGCTTCCCAAAATGCTCCAAGAGCTTCGAAAACGCCATGTCGGGAACTTTGGCAGCGAAGAGCTCAATCTGTTCAAAGAAAGGGAACAGACCCACTTTTCTAACTTCATCAAACGGTTGCTGCAGACACTCTATTAGATAAGTTAGATCTTCTAAGTGTAACGTTGTTGTGAGTCCATCTGGATAACGGCTTCCTCTCCTTCCAGCTCTCCCGGCGATCTGTTTCACTTGTGAAGCAGGTACAGGCACAACCTTATCACCGTTATACTTGCTCAGACTGTAAAAAACAACTCGTCTTATGTTGAGATTCAATCCCATCCCAACAGCATCACTAGCAACCAAAACATCATACTCGTTTTCCTGATCGTTAAACAGATTCGCTTGCTGTCTCCTTGTCTCAGGAGGCAACGCACCGTAGATGACACAGCAACGATGCTTTGTATGTTTCTCTATCGCCATTTTAACTTCGAATATCTCTCTTCTCGAGAAGGCAACAACACAATCACCTGACTTAACGTTCTTGAGATCTCCTAGTAAAGTCTTACCTTCCACGACCAACGGTTTAAACCTCTCGTAATGCTCTTCCACTAACTCATCTCCTGTTTCACCACACATCTTACGCACAATCTCCAAAACACTCGGGTCTCCACACAAATGAATCTCATCGGCTTTTAACCCAAGCAAAGCTTTTGTCCAAGCGTGACCTCTACTAGGATCCGCCATCATCTGTATCTCATCAATCACAGCCACTTCGTATAACTCATCCGTAGACACCATTTCAACAGTACAAGAAACATGTCTCGCAAACGGAACATGTTTCTTCTCTTGTCCCGTCAACAGACTACAGTAAACCCCTAACGCATTCACTTTATCAAAAACCTCCATAGCTAACAACCTAAGCGGGCTGCAATACAAACCGTTCTTAGCTTCCATAAACCGCTGCAAAGCATTATATGTCTTACCACTATTGGTCGGTCCACAATGGTAAACAATCTTACGCTTCATAGCTCTAGCGAAAGGAAACCAAGTAGCCGGTTTAGTGAGGTCTGCAGTGTCAACAACGCTCTTGAAACGTTTGATCTCATCAGGAAACTCTTCTATACAGAACTCGACAAACACAGGGAAGAGAAACTTAACAGCATCATCCGTTGGTCCGACACGAACAAGATCTTGAACAAGGTCAAGCTTAGATGTCTCAAAGAAGAAGTCACGGAACTTGGTAACAGCTGTTGGGAAAAACGATTTACCGATGTAGATGGCAAGAGCTTGATTAGCTGCCCAACCAGACTGGGAAAAGTAAGTGAATATCTCGTGTAATGTATCCCATTCGTTACGCTGAAGATTAGAACGCACTTCGTTTCCTTTAAGCTCTTTGTATAGAGCCACGGGGTCATGATACGCAGCGTTTAAAGCAAGAGCAGCTTCGCTACTAGTCTCAGAAACAGCTGAATCATTTAGCAAGGTTTCATCTACATCGCCAAGCTCATTAACCACACCTTCCTCGTCAAATTCGGGGTCACTCTCAGAGTCAGAACCAAGAAGACTTTCTTCAAGTTTTTTCTTCTCGTTTTCATTGTTCTCATCCACCGTTGAAGAAAAGCATCTAACTTTACCGAACCCAACAAGTGTGTAATCGTTCCATGGAAGGTGTATCCGGACCGGACTATCCGAGAAGAACCGGGTCGTGGGGAAATCAGATTGGGGATTAACAAGAGATCTACAATCTCTGAAAGTATGAAAATTTCGGGTGGAGAAGAGAGTCCTAGCTCTCGAAGTATAGGCTCTACGCAAAAATCTAGCTACGCCTCTCGCCATGGTCACAGACTTGGTTCGAATCACAACTGAAATTGAGAAACTTTGCAGAGTAAGTTTGATCCTGTTCAAGGAAAAGTCTGCTCCTTTTTTTTTTCGAATTACTTCAAATGGGTTTGGACTGAGGAAGAATAGAAATGGTAAACGAGGGCGAAGCGAGAGAGAGAGATAGAGAGGCGTTTAGAGAGAGAGACTCAGAGAGATGTAAAAACCCTACAACAGGGTTTTTGTATTTAGGATATGTGATTTTGCACTCCTTGCTGTTCAAAATAAATTTCCAATCAAATTTTTTTTTTATACTTATGTTTATACTCGACAAACGTTAACTTTTGTATAACGTAATTTCTGTTAATTATAACAAAGTTAAAAGTAAGGAAATTGTAAAACGGATGCACAAATGCACCCTGAATATATAGTATACCAAAAAATATATAAAATCACCGGTTTAAGATAACCGACTAGGCCGTACTTAAAACATAAACCCGATAAATTTTTAGCTGTCAATTTTCATTAGTTACCTATTTTGTAGAGTGAGTGAATAAGCTCATGAACTCTCACTTTTTCGTTTAGAAAGTTTTTTTTTTTTTTTTAACACTGATAACATGAATCATTCGGACTGTTATAATTAAGGTATAAAAGGGAAAGATTAAAATGTCATTAGACATCGAAACAAAAGGTAAAAGGTCCTCACCCAACCCCTTATTGCTGAGCCTCCAAAGCGAGTAGATGATATAGCCAAGCGGGAGCACTTCGGGCGATGTATGAATGATGACGTTGATCGCGAGTGACACTTATAGCAATTGCGTCGGCAGCTTCATTGCGTTCAGGAAAAACGTACTCCAAACTCCATGAAGCTATCTTTGTCAGAAGAAAAGAGATTGTGTGGTGAATATGGCTGAGGTTTTAGTGTTCATCAGGCTTCGTGAGTACGTCATGTAGGCTTTCCGACGAAGTCTCAAAAATAATATTTGAGAAATGTAAATTATGTAGACATTCAACCGCCCAAAAAAGAGCCCACAGGCCAGCCTCCGTTTTTGTGCGCATACATGAATAAGTTCGACAGCTATGCAAGATTGTACACCCATTGTCATCACGCAAAACCCATGAAACGCCACTCATATGATTTGAATTTACCCATGAGGATCCCTCATTACATTTAAGGAAACCATTTGGCAGTTTTTTCCATCGTATTATTTCCGTATTGACATCCCTCATGCCATTCTTCGAAACTGTGAATGTATCAAACTATGTGGCTTCTTCTTCATAGGCTCTCTTAGCAATAAACGAAGACTCAATAACCTTGTTTTCAAAAACAAGAGCATTCCTAGCTTTCAAAATTTCCCATAGCAACCATGGAAAAACATTTCTTATATGTATATCCGTAAATGAGCTCTTAACAATTTAGTTCAGGTGCACAAAATTTAAAAAAAGTGGAGTTCCGAGAGAAACCTCCTAAGGAAACTGAAAAGCTAGACTGCTCCCATGTGGCACGTGCTTTATCACATGTAAAAAGAACATGACATATAGTTTCAGCACCATTACCACACACATGACATGTTGGGTCCATCAGAATACCCCGAGTAGTCAGATGTTGCTTAACAGCTAACACACCAGAAAGAGCACACCACATAAAATGTTTTATTTTCAGTGGTGCTTTGGTTTTCCACAAGTCCCTCCACAATTTTTTTTCAACAGAAGTGAGAGAGTGTCCTTGAGGGTTATCAAATCCACCAGAGCCTCTAATAACTTTAATTGTTTAGAAAGTTTTAATTGTGAAATAACAGAGCAAATCAATTGAGAGCGAGTATAGTTTAACCGGTAAATCAAATCGGCTACCAAAACGGTTGTGTTAGACCTGGACTTCCGGGTCCTCGGGTCGGGTTCGGTGCTGGATCCAAATTCTCCGGGTCTTGGAAATTTAGATCCATATAGGTACTTATAGTTTTTCGGATCGGTTTTGGGTCGGGTCTTGTCGAATCCGGATCTGTTCGGAACTATTACTTCAATACCTATAAAATACCCGTAATTTTCGGGTCCGGATCGGGTTCGGATATTTAGGATCTGAAAATACATAACATACCCAAACTCACTCAAATTTAGTCAATATTTGTCATATATATCTAATTTTTTTACAAAATAACTTAAATTAACTATTAATAATTAACATAAAACCTTTTTAAACTCTAAATTTTATATTTTAAAATTTTATATTACTTAAACTGTTACAAAATAATAATAAATATTGTTAACAAGAGATTTCAACTAAATCATAAAATAATATATATAAAACAGAACACAAAAAATCCTAGTTTTGGATATATATGTTTTAAGTCGGATACAAATCGGTTCTTATCGGGTCGGGTCTATTTGGCTCGTTTTTTCGGATCCGGATCTATTCGGGTCGCTTCTTTTCGGGTCCGGATCTATTCGGGTAAAATAAATTTAGACCCAATAGGTAATTATAAATTTTTGGGTCGGGTTCGGATCGAGTATTAGTTATCGGTTTCGGTTCAGGTTTTTCGGGTCCAGGTTAAAATGCCCGGCCTAGGTTGTGTGTTTAACAGTGTCAAGGTCGAGCACTGAGTGTTTTATTGGCAAAACATTATGTTCTTTTATTAGAGTAATTGCACTCCATATACACTGATAATCTTATAATTTGCACGGATGGAAATTGGTCTTTTTTGTTGATGTGTTTTTCTTAATGCCCGTTATGCCCCTATTTATAGAAACACTCATTGTTTATTCCATCTAACCATTCTCCCGTAAAAATTTCTGTTATTTTACCTCTCTCCTCTCTCCTAATTCTCTCATCCTCTATCTACAGAATTTTCTTTTCCATCGCTTACATGTATTTGGATTTTCACTGGATAGAGGAAAAAAAATGTTTCAAAAAAGGAAAATGATAAATTCAGATATATTTGACCCCAAGATGGATTCAATTTTTTCTCACCATGGTTCATATCCAAATGGTGATTTCGGTTCATAGGTGGGCCGTCAGATTCTACGTCCAGTGGTGAATGTTGCACGAGGATTCTCATTCTCTAACCTGACTATCTCACCGACTCTACATCCCAATCCGTAATAATCTCACCTACTTCAAGGTTGACTTCAAAGTTTATTGTTTTTAGTTTCAACTCAACGCTTATTGCATAGCTCGTTGTTGTTTTATAACTTTGGTGTGTATATAGTCTGCTCAAATTTTATGCCTTTTGTTGCTTTTGATCAAAAGGGTCTATTATGGGTAGGTCCAGAGGCTTTAAAAGTACCAGTTTTCAGCAAAGATCTTATAAATATTGCAGAGAATTCCAGATCAGTTTCAGCCAAGGTATGTGCTTATTTACTAATCTATGTGGCCGGATACGTGTTATAGTGACCGGTTAAGATAAATATTATACGGCTACACAATATTAATAAGCTCATGTACATTCTGTTTTCAGGTATATTACCATTGGCATTTCAGTTTTCAGTTTCCAGAAAAAATCTTATACATACTTCAAAGAAGACCAGGCGGAAATTTATATAAATTACAAATTTTAGTTTAACTGTTTTTATTTAAAGATATTCGTCTCAGGTGCTCTCGGTTGTTAAACATAAATTTGCGATTAATTAACTGCCTTCAAATGTACTTATCTAATCATAGTATAGTTTAGTTTATTATCACATATTCGTAATTACTAGCTAACATTGGATATCATTAAGAGATATCCTCTTCTTGTGTTCGGTACATTCATTCTTACAAAATTATCAGGCTATTTATAACTTTATCATGAAGAGACTCAGTGCAGAAAATTTTCATTACTCCCATCACCAAACTAAACTTCTATAACTCATGTACCCTTTCCCATTAGTTGGTATCGAATAACATTTAAAAAATACTATTTTCCATACAATATGTATTTTATCCAACCATGTAGTCATGCTAATTTATGGAGGATATAAATGAGTCACATTGTAGCAATGTTAAGTTATATATCAACCATATAAGTTGTATTACGCCAACCCTACCCAAAACTAAAAGCAAAGAAAACGAATACATAAACATGTAATTGTCAACCGGCTAAACTAACAAATATACTACGTGAAAATATTTGATTAACATACGTAAAAATACATTTGTCATCCAGCTAAACTCATGCTAAAGAATGTTAGTCGGCTAAACTAACTAATGGTAACGAATGTTAGCCGGCTAAACTAACAAATATGTAAACATTAATAACTCATGTTAGCTGGCTAACTATTATATTATCTTTGCAAAGTTTTGCTAGTTAGTTATCGGGAATACAGTCTTCTTGTTTCGCCATAGCTGTGAAGATTATGGTGTCGACGAGCTTGTCTTGGGGATGTCGGTTGTTCAGGACATCTCCCTCTTAGACGCTGAAGTTCTTTTTGGCCGGTAAATTTTAGGGTTTGTGTGCGATGTTGTAGGATCCGTTTTTGAGAGTCGGATCTATGTATATTCAGGCGGTCAGGTCACGGAGCAGCTCTGACGATGCCATTTTTGGTGAAGACTAACCGTGGATGAATCGTTGTCTGGTTTCGAATACACGAGATGCAGAGAAGTTGTGAGGTCATCGGATCCAATACCCAATCGTGTTCGTCGGGGCTGGGGCAATAGCTCCTTTGTCTTCTTTCCCTTTCTCTAATCTTCTCTCTTTAGATCTTGGTCTAGCTCTTGTCTTGTTTATGCTTGTTCGTTCTTGATGAATCGCTTGTTTAGGATTCGTCTGTTTTCTTCGGTACTGTATGTTTTTGCCAATGTCCCTTTATCGAAAAATATTTTATAGTATTTCATTTCAGTTGAAAAAAAGAAAGAGAATGATACAACTGGTAGGGTTAGCAGTGTCTTTTTGCACTTACTGATACTGGGCACCACCTCATTTTCTCTTCTTGCAAATTATCGTGCCCCATTAGCATTTGTATGCAAATGACTCTTTTTATTATCCAATTAACTATTATTACATCTATGTCGGTGTCCATGTTAAGCGCAAATTATTTATTTATGTGTTTTTCTTTTTAAAAGAATATAACTATATGTTATTAAATGTTTGGTCAATTTTGTAGCAAGGATCAGTGAGGTGATTGTATATGAATTTGGGGATGTTTTTTTTTTGTTCCATTGTTCTTGTATTGTAACTTAATTGTGTTTGGTTAAGGATGATGAGGAAAATAAACCGAGAATGAAATTG